CGAAGTAAATCTCAAACACTTATTTCCTCGAAAAAATTCCAGAGAAAGAATTAAGCATGATTTAATTGGCAATAATAAATGAATGCGTTATCTTTGTTGTTGGGAAGCTAAGTTTCTCTAGATTGGCAACAAATCCACTAGTCTCCTGTTTCATATGTAAACATCAATGGCCGCCATTAAAACAGGCTTAGCGGCATAAACAACTTTAAATTGCTGATAATTCTAAAAATATTGCACACAGATTTACTAAAGGCATAAAATCCTTAACCGGAAGGTAAAAACAACATAATTCAATCATTTTTAAAGCAAAAAATGTACAATTTACAAACATATAAGAGTAAAGAATACTATTGTGTACATAGTTTTAAATTTCTATAATGGCCAATTTTACTGCTTTTATTAACAAATCGGGCCTTTTCGTTTTTCATAGTAGCTTGAAGAATTACGACTTTTTTAACAATGACTGTTTTTTCCTTTTACTCTTGCTTTGATGGCCAAGTTTTTGTAGTTTTAGCTGAATTAGCCATTTTCACTTCGAGAAAAATTTTTTTCCATCCAACTACATGCCAGGCGCCATTTTTGAGATCTTTTCACGTTTTTCCGAGGTTTCCGGCCCCCTTCGATAATAGGAGACGAGTTGCAGATAACGAAAATCTCTTCGTATTGGCTAAATGCCCACAGAACTTCGCTCCCCCCTACATACGTCATTCGGATGAAGTACACAGAAAGGAATTGCAACCACTTTTCAACTAGTTTTAAGAGGGAGAGCTTTGCATCGCCACAGGTCAGTTTTTTGTTTCTTTTGTTACAGCTTTTTCTTGGTCTTAGCAAGACCCACTTAGTTTGTTCTCATCTTAATTTTCTTTTATTTTATTTTAATTACAGTTTTTCATTACAGATTTCTAAAATATAAAAATTAAATTGTTAATCTTTAAGCTTGCAGGCCCAGCCGGTATGTTTTTGTATATTTAGGACTAATAGCTGACCGCTATTTATTTTCGATTTTATTTTGATTTTAATTTTAATTTTGATTTTAGTCTAGATTTAAGATGTTTAGTTATAGTTTCACATATTTTAACACCTTAATGTGTCATTCTGTGCGGACGCGTCGGGAAATTGGAACAGAGAATTGAGACTATTAAAATTTCCAAGACACTTTGTCTAAATTTAAAAAAAAATTTGTAGCGAAAAAGTTTCAATGTCTGTTTCGGCGAAACGCGTAATGGGGTTAGCTTGATTCGACGTTCAAATAAATGAAATTTCCCTTGAAAAAGCCAGTTTGGAAGTCGAGTTGGGCTAATTTACCATTTCCGCTTACTTTTTTTATCTGATTCTGTTTTTTTAATGTTTTACATGTTTAATGGTTTGATTTTCATATGTATTAATTTTTTAAAACGTGTTGAACTTTTTGGAGCAGCAGCTCTTGGTAACTTTTAGGCGAGCTTACTACATTTTTTTTATATTTTACTTATTTTGCAGCATATTGCGCAAGATGTTTTCTAGACCAAAATTAGTTTTTTAAAATTGTAATTACTACCTTGCTTGATATATAAATATATTTATTTACGTTTGGTGCGGCCGATTGCAACCAAAATGCGAGGTGCACATCTACATGTTATAGCAGTCCTATATACAAAATTTCAACGTTCTGAGGCTACTCGTTTTTGAGTTATGCGAGATACGTACGTACATACGTTCGTACAGACGCCACGAAAAATTCTCTTCAGAATTCATTTTAAAGCAGTTTTATAATATTTTTTGAAGGAAAAGAGTATTTTATTCTGTCCTTACGTACAGATATCACGCAAAAACATCGTAAATTGCATTCGATAGCGGTCAAAAATGGATTTTTCGTTGAAATATGTTGCTGCCTGAAGCTTTTTTCGCGATTACAATACTTCCTTTTTACTTCGTACAAGGAAGTAAAAAGTTACAAATAAAAAACTACAATTTATTTATCATTTTCTATACTGCGACATGATATAATAATTATACAAATGTATCTAATATTAATATATATCTAATACTAATAAATAACAAATATATCTGGCATTTTCAAAATATATTTTCAGGCGATACTTTAAATTTGTATACAATATCAATAATAGTACAATATTTGTTATTAAAAATTTAAATAAAAATAGTTGACAACACTTGATGAAGAATGAAAACGCAATTTATTAGCCAGTATTACTCAGGGCAGCTCCAAAAACACATTTACAGTCGTCGAAAAAACTACGAGAAACACACTGAAACAATCAGCAACACAGTCTTCAGGCTATCAGGCTATAACGGTGAAGACAGCTTCACGGCAAAGCACTAGAGTACAGCTCCCGACTCGGTTCGGTAGTTCTCGGAACTCAGCGTACTCTCGAGACTCTCCACGCTACAACTCACGATGCACTCGACGATACACTCGATAGCATGGAGTTAAGAATGAAAGGAGGGGCCAACCCTACAGCATGAGTGAAGCATTGCTTCCAGGCTTTGATCTCCAGATAGGGGGTTTTTTCTTTACATCTGGAAGAATTCTTGACAGCTTTGATATTATTTCAACACATGACAGTTCCATTTAAAAAAAAGAAAAAATCAGTATGTGATGGATTGCTTTCTTATGACAATGAAGTTAATGTTTAAATGTAAAATGGATAGTTATTATATTATCAGAGAATTATTAAACCGGGTAAAATCGCTAAAAGAGGTATTGAGTGCTCGGTCAAAATATATTTATTAGAAGATTCGAATTTGATAATGAAACCTTAAAACGTGTTATAAGTCAAAAGTTTGAAACTTGATGGCTAGATGTAAATATAAAATTATTCATTAAACTATTTGTAATTAATCACATAGGTCAGCCATATAGGTCAACACATAGGTAAGTTTTTATTAAATAAGATAAGGCATGCCATCGTGGAAGAATTTCGAAGGAAAATTGACTTATTTTTACATGCATGTAATATGCATCCACTCAAATAATGCATGTAATTTTCATTAAAATTATGTTTATACATATTTCTTATGTAAACATTTCTGGTATATGTTAAATTATTGTGAATTACTTTACTCGAAAAAGCTTGTGAATGAACAGAAATTAAAGATTTGCACACGCCGAAAATGAAAAATGTGATATATGTATGAGTATTTATGCATATGCTTGAAAAAAACATGTACCTGCCTTTAACAAAATACATACATGTTTATTAAATTCTTTATAAATGTATTTGGAAATCAAGGATTTATTCATTCATAAACGCCTGTGAAAGTTACTGTGAAGAAAGCTAGTTATTAAATATATCTAAATTTATAATGATTATAAATATTATCTAAATATAGTGTAATAACCTTAACTTGTAATTGTAAGTATAAATTGAAAATCTGTTAATAAATACGTTTATAAAACTATTTAAGCAAAAATTGTTCGTTCTGGAAAGCAATCTGTTAACACGTATTTTAAAGCAAATTCTATGAGATGCGTACTTAAGGAAGTAGCAAAGAAGAGCTTTAGAATATGTATTGTTGAAATTAAGGGTAAAAAAAAATCTGATAAGTCTTAAAAGAATTATTACCTTACATTTTATAATAACTCAGTTACAAATTTTAAATAATATTAAAAAAAAAAGAAAGTTTTTTTATTCTCTTTCAGATATATTTAGAGAAAGTTAAGTGTACGTAAATCAGCACCGATATTTAACGTATTTCATTATTAAAGTAAAAGGTGCTCTAATTTGAAATTGACCGAATACAGTATTAATTATAAATTGACTCGGATTTTCGATTTAAAAGGATTGGATTGGATTATTCAATTATGGCAAAGCACACGGGGGGCTATCTGCCTAAAGGGAGGGATGCCTTCGTTGAGTACTTTCTAATGGAAATTTGCTCGTATACACGTTACACATGGGGAAAACCACGAAAACTTCCATGCAGCCAGCCCGTTCGCGGGATTCGAAACTCCGACCGAACTACCAGTGTTCAGCGTCTTTACCGCTCGGCCGCTGGTGGGCCTTTCGATTTAAAAGATACCTCAGAAGCTAAAACATCATGTCATATTTAAGAAAGTATTTTAGGAAGAAGCTCTGTAAATAGAAAAGAAATAATGTAAAATTTTTAATATTAATACTTTTAATTTTAATAATACAATAAACTTTGATCTTAAATTTTTTTAATCCTTAACCGAATAAAATCGAATTACCTTAAAAATTTTTTCTAATGTAATTTACGAAAACTTGTGTAAATATTTCATTAAAATTAAGTAAGCAAACTGTTCTGTGAAAAGTATAGCATTTAATTTCATTCAAAATGAAATGTTGTTTAATAATGTATTCTTTTCACATACTTAGGGCTCTGAAATATTGTAGAAAAAGAAAATATATACATTTATATGTATATTTACGCCGTAATTAAAAAATGTTTACATCCGACCCTGTCAAAACCCATTGATCTTAATGGTAAGTCACTAAGTCACTGAATGTTTTGGTCTCCACAAAGGGATCGCCGGTGCTTCAAAACAGTGTATGGGAAAAAACCGGTTAAATTCTCTCTTCTTGCTTCCTATCTCCATGCTCGATAGCCTCAGCGCGATGCACCAACTCGCGATACATTGACAAGACATCCAGACATTAGACTGAAGATCAACTCGATAAACTCACAATAGACTGCTACTCCGCGTAGAAACAGGGTTTATATATCTTTTGGGCTGTTTTCGAGAAAATTCTGGACCAAACCGGTAAGAATTCGTTCTAGAATGTTCTCCATCCGTCCACGGTATATCGCCAAATGTCGCTAAATAGGCGATTTCGCGCCAAATCTAGCAACCCTACCTTCTTTTGAACATTTTTGGTAACCGTAAACTCGCCTTGAGGGGAAGCTATCTTACCGCAGCTGGACCCTTCGTAACAATACTCTTTAATACAGATAACGATATGTATCTAAAAATCTGTAGTAAGATAATTAATATTATTACCGCAAAGCTTTAGCGAAAGAACGTCTTACACCTTGCGAGCTCTTTACCTAAGCCTTTGAATGTAACTAGCAGGGCGTAGCTGGGGGGGGGGACATTTGTCTCCGGGCGCCAAATTGATGTTAGGAATTTTTAAAATGAAATGTTTTCCACTCCTGGGAAACAGGAGCGACGCGAGATCTTCAGTTGTGTCCGGGCGGTAAAAACCCTAGCTACAGCTCTGGTAACTGGAGAAATAAGATGAAGTGAAAAACTCGGATCCAGTGTTAAAGTTAAAAAAATTCACTTTTAGAACTTTGAAAATCTGTAGAATTAGAGACAAGTAGGAGCCATCAATGTCATTATGAACGCTATATTTGCTAAAGATATTTCCTGCGCATATCTAGATGGCACTAACATGACCGCTAGATGGCACTAACATAGATTTATTAAAATTTATGGTATCATAATTTGTGTTCGTCTACCGGCTTCGTACAGCATATTTATGTAAAATCTAGAGCTATTGTGATTGTGTGAAGGGTTAAAGATTGAGCTGAAAAGATGCAATCTTGAACGTCGATGTTCGTAATCATTGGTTTGACGCGTTTAAATTTTTATATGATCTTGTCGGTCAGTAGGCATTTGAAAAATTCTTTTTATCTTAAAAATTACCTTTATGTTTCATAACCTGAGTTTAAAATATCAGAATCTCGATACGTAATACCCCCTGCTTCATAAATTCTGTTAAAAACATGAAATTTTGCTTTCAGAAATATGTGCATTCCATAATCAATATCGTTTATTTGTTCTGCTTTTGTAGAGGGCTTACGTATATCAGTTATAAGGAGAAATACAGTCTATTCCATTGTTTATAGTGTGCATGAGAAATACTTTTTTCCCAGAGGCATCAAGTTTGTTCATTAGATTAAATTATTTTGTTGTGGTGTTTAGGATAAAAAGAAGATATGAAGTTTTGATATTTTAGGCCCCCTTTTTTTTTTTTTTTTTTTTTTTTTTTTTTTTTTTTTTTTTTTTTTTTTTTTGTTTTTTTTTTTTTTTTTTTTTTTTTTTTTTTTTTTTTTGTTTTTTTTTTTTTTTTTTTCCTTTTAATACTTTGTTTATCTCCAATGTTAGATTATTTTGATCTTTTTCACCATATTTGTAAGAGGATTTTTGTATAAAAATAGCTATGAAAGTATGCTGCTGTTAGTATGTTTACTTTTATTTATTTACTGCTTTTGTGAACACCAGCCAAAATTATTTAACAAAGTCATTAATTAAAAATTACATATATATATATATATATATATATATATATATTATTTTGTCATTAAGTTTAAAATGAATCTATATTAGATAAATTCCATATGCCATTTATGCTTAAAGTTGTTACGCCAAAGCGAAAAATGCAACAATTTAGCAATATATATTTAATACTTCTCTGGTCTTGTACAAATATACTATTGAAGAAAAGTATAGGTTACATTATGCTAAATTTAATATGTTTATTAAAATTATCATGTGGTATAGCTGTTTGTCATCTTATAAAGTGAATATGAGATATCATTTAACTCATTTCTTTTTACCTCTGTACTACTTTCTGTGGATCAAAATCAGGTGTTCTTGTAATAAAGTAATAAAGTAATAAACTTATTTTATTTCTTAATGATTCTGTATAATTATTTGTAATCATTGGGAACTCTTAAATGTGACATATGTTTTATTAAACCTTTTAGGTATAATCGTTTTCTGTTTAAAATTTGGAAGTTTTAGTTAGTTTACACAAAATTCCCAATTCTAAATATATAACTGGGGAATAATGTATCTGTAAGAGCTAAATATGGTTGTGTTTTGCTTTTTAAGTATGAATGCATTTCATATATTTGTAAGAGCAAAGTACGAAAATAAGCTTTTAAAATTTTGTCTACATTTTTAGATTTTTAGTATTCCTGTGTTTGGGTATTATTATATGTATAAACTACAGTAAGAATCTGTAGACTTTTCTAATTATTTTTATATCATTAATGTTTACATGTAATATATTTATTTATTGGAAAATATACATGCTTTCATGAGTTACATTTTAAAAATTGCAATGTACCTATGTTTTAATTTTTATTATATATAACATTTTTAAATTGCTTTGCAGTTGAGTAAGCAAATTTTTATCAGTGGCTATAGAAATACGAGTTTACAAAATGTTACATATGTCATATTCGAGGGGAATATAATAATTATTTATTTTACTGGCTTTATTTTAAAATAATGTAGCACTGAAATTGAAATTTTAAATGGTAAAATTATTGTTCTGAAATTGGATTATGAATATAATATCTGTAATTATCTACGACTTTTATCCATCTTTCAGGCAACTTATCAAGCCCCTTTTTTTTGAACATTTCGTTTAGTTTTTCCAACATTTAGTAGTTAATTATATTTTTATGATGTCTCTAAAATTTTTTATCAGTAATTAAATGCTGTATTAACCTAAATAGGTAATAAGTGGAGATGGCTTAGGCAGAAGAGGGAAAATTTTCCATATAAAAGCATTATTCATTTTTCGAGGCTGATACAATTTATCTGGGAAAGGAAAACTTGGCTAATCTTTGGAATATGGTAACAGGTAGTTTGGCGACATTTTGGTAAGGCAATAAAGGTTACTAGCTTGGACTTTAGCAGTGTACATGGATAAAGTCAAGAGTGTGCGCAATGCCAATTTTTGTGCAATTCTGGGATGTTTTAAGTAAAATTAGGTCGACGTGTACATGGCTAACGTGTATGTGCAATTTTTAAAAACACGGCAAGCAGTGGGCGATTCTGCACTTCTCCCAATTTCGCACCTAATCTTCGTCATGATTAAGCACTTTTGTTCAATAAAAGTTCTAGTATAAGCATAATTCGGCTAGTAGATTGTTAGAAAAAAATGTTGAGGGAAAAAAAAAAAAATGCCTTTACTTCGTGAAAACAAAATGGCGTCCAAAAAAAAAAAAAATAGCAGGTTGCTGTAACAGGGTTAGTCGCCAAATTTTTGCCAAAAATCGCCAAGTTACCATAATCCAAAGATTAACCAGAAACTTCAATATACATTTCTGCATTTGAATTTTGGGATGACAGACAACCTGGCACTTTTCTCTTTTTTGACAGAGGTGCAGTTTTTCAATACACTGTTTTATATATAATTATACCATTTATACAGGGTGTCCGAAAAGTCTTTCCCTGATTACATAAATTGATAACTCAGGCTAGAAGTAAGATACAAATATAAAACTGGTGTCTAATTGTTTATAAACTATCAAAGTGTTTTTCACACATCAGTAAACTTACAGCACGTAGTACATCTAGGCGATATTAAATTTCCGTCCACACATTAGCCAACATCACTGGAGGGATCGATTCAATGACTGTGGTTATCCGTAGCCGCAGGGTTTCAAGATCTGGTACACGTATTCAGTAGACCTCGTCCTTGACATAACCCCATAAAAAGAAGACTAATGGGGTTATGTCAGGAGAGTGTGGAGGCCAAACTGTTAGCCTATCATGACCAATCCAATGCCCAGGAAAGGTCATATTGAGATAGGCACGGCCGTCCAAACCCCAATGAGGCGGTGCACTGTCTTGCTGAAACAAGACATTGGGGTGATACTGAAGCAGCTGACGAACAGCGTACAGTTGCAACATGTCCAGATACACTGCAGATGTGATGGTAGCCTCAGCGAAGAAGAATGGCCCGATAATTCAATCTTGCAATAGGGAGCACCAAACATTCACCTTTGGACTGCCTCTGGTGCACCCCATGATCTCGCCAGGGGGTTGTGAACCCTAAATGTGCACATTATGGCGATTCACTACTCCACTGACAAAAAAGGTCGCTCGCTTCGTCGGCAAAGGCAATTCGTCTGAGATAACCATCATCGTCCTCAATACATGATAGCATTTCGACCGCAAAGTCATATCGATGTGTACTGTCATTGGGCAACAAGGCCTGAACGATTTGCACTTTGTATGCACGAAACAAACGTTTGTGTAAAATGTCATGGAGAGAGCTTTTTGGTATCTGTAATTCACGTGAGGCCCTGCGCACCAATTTCTTCGGACTTCGCAGAAAAGACTGCCTCACAGCTTCCACCCTGTCTGCTGAGGTTCTTGGTCGACCAGACCTCAGAAGGTCAGCAACCGATCCTGTGTTCTTGAACTTCTCATACCAGGCTTTAATGCTCTTGACGTCAGGTGGATTCCTTCCAAATGTTTTCTGGAAGTGTCTCTGCACTGTGGTTGATGATTCTGTCTCATGGTACCACAGGACACACTGTGCCTTCTCCTGATTGGTTAACATGGCTTCTTGGGCACTGCACCTCATTCACTACTTACGTAGTGCGAACCTAAAACAGGAAAAAAAAAAAAAAAAAAAACTTTGATAGTTTGTAAACAATTCGACACAAGTTTCATATTTGTATCTTACTTCTAGCCTGAGTTATCAATTTATGTAATCAGGGAAAGACTTTTTGGACACCCTGTATGTTTGTTTCTTGCAATGTAGAAGTACAGAATTTCATGATGCATTATTTTATACATAACAAAGTCTGAAATCCAGGCATTCAGTATGTGGACCACTAGCTGTTTTTTCTTTTTTGGCATTTCACCAACGTACTGTATACATAGTTTGATCACTGTAGATAATGCTTTTGGCCCAAGAATTCAATAGTGAGTTTTCAATGAATAAGCATGGATTCTTACCTTAATGTCTATATGTGTGTGATGGATTTTTTGTTTATGATAAGTTATATCAGACTTCCAAAAATTTCTTTTGGAACTACTCTGATATGCGCCCTCATGTCGCCAAATTTCTCGCCAAAAATATTTGGCTCCATATTACGCTGCCATATTACTTTACTTTACTTTACGCTGCCATATTACTATCTAAATTTTTTGTCTACATTTTGAACTTTTAGCCTAAAATGTCTCCAAAAACGCGGTTTTCGCACATGCAAAAACCTACGTTTTGAACACACAATGCTAAAAATCCCGAAACAAAACAAAAAAAAATTTAGATAGCAAAAACGTAAAGTTTCTAACCAAAAATATTTGACAAGAATCCATGTACACCAGCGACAATGTTTTAACTTAAAAAAACATCTACGAAATTGCACAATGTAGGCAACGAACGAATCTATGAACTACACAGACCTCGCTTTAATAAAATTAACATAACAATAATAAATTTCAAAGAATACCATGTACACAGCATCCTGTTTAAACTTAAAAAAATTCTACGAATTGCACAATTTAGGCGAGGAAGGAATTTACGATCTACGCACTCCTCGCTTTTAATAAAATAACATAACAAAAAATAAATTTCAAATAATACCATGTACACAGCGTTCTGTTTTTCAACTTTTTAAAAACATCTACGAATTGTACAGTCTAGACACTAAACAACAAAATAAACTAAAATAAATTTCAAAACAATTTAAAAAAACAACAATAACGACAGAAATTCATACTAAAAGAACCAATGAACATAACATTCTACAAAATAAGAACAAGGATAAAATAAAATGCACTTACCATGAATTAATGCGTTTTCAAATAGCAGAAATATAAATTTCATACCGCCTTTAACACGCCCCGCC